TAAGCATAGGTATCCAATATGACCGCACTACATAACTTGTAGTCGACGAAAGAATTAATTTTTACAAAAAGAAGTTCAATAAGAAAAGTGAAGCAAAGTGTGTGCGTGTTCGTTAAGCAAGGGACGTGTTGAGTAAACCCTGAATTTGCAGATAGATTTCACTAAATAAATACCTTACGCAGCTGTTTTTCGTATACCAAACATATGGCTTTGTTGAGTTCAAAAATTTGTGCAGATATTTTAAGAAAACGAATAGTTTTTTAAAATATTTCATGAATTTTAATGATTTACAATCATCACAAAACGGTCATGTACTAAGCTCAATTCGTAAAAAAACTGATTTGCGAAACTGCGTTGCGGAGAACGCGTGGTGTACAACGTGACGGTGTGGAGCTGTTGATTTCAGCCACCATTTGTGTGACCAAAAACCTCACATAACCTCAAAGTGAATCAATAAGAAAAGTGTTTCTTCATTTTAACCAAAAAAAAAAAAAAAAAAAAACAAATAGGAAAGTGTTTAATTATTTCATTTGAAATAGTCAAAAGTATTCTGTTAAAACGTTCACGTTTTCAGTAAGTGTAAAATTTAGAGCCGCCTACACCTTCATAAACGCCTGCAATAATAAGCTGACAAAAATTGATATCGAAAACGAATTTGCTTCGCTTAGTTGAATCAAATAGAAATAAAAAATTGATTGAAGCAACTTAAGCGCCCATATGCGAACAAAAAGGTCTGAATGTTCCATATATTTAATTGAAGTAAGGGATAATTAAAATCCATTTTAAAGCAAAGGTTTTTATTAAATCATAACAAACAGGTTATTGTTCCCTCAAAACCTTTTACAAATGCTTGAAACGTGATCTTTGTTTTTTTTTTTTTGTTGTAGTTGTTTTTTAAATTAATTTATTTGTTAATATTCTTGTCTATGTGCATTCAAAGCGTTGTAAATTTAAAGCGAGAAAAACTACTTTTCTACAATCAAATAAAAAAAATAATTTATTTAGGATGACTACGTACGAGAACAATTTCCTGTTAATTTCGTGAGCAATAAATTGTTTAAAAAATGTAATATAAAAAAAAAAAAAAAAACAATTTTAATTACATCAATTAAAAGCGACATGGGGAGACACTGGTCGCATAAACGCATAAAATATCAAAGAAATAAATATTTCTTTCGTCCGAAAAACTGATTAACATTTTGTTTTCTTGTCCGAAATTATGATTTTCAATCGCAAAGTTCATAAATTGAAATAATTTCATATAAGCACAACGTTCCACATTCTACTGATTTTTCTTTGCGATCCATCCACTAATTGAACGCTTTTTATCAGAATTGCGTATTGTCTTTTTCAAAGTCCTATGTTGCCGCTTAAACTTAATTTGTATTCTGGCAAACGATATCCGAATATTATATAATCACCACAAATCGTTTTATCAGGCTGTAGTCTTCTATTGGCCTTTTTGGGATAAAAAAAAGTGAACAACGTGAAACGCTCTGCCTATTGCGTGTGAAGTGTAAAAGCAAATGAGTGAAAAACATAAAAAACTAAGCCAACTATATTTTGATATTTGTTGTATGATAATAAGTAGCCGTGTTCAATATACTCTAATTAAAGACAATGTATCTTTGTCCCCAGTTAGTACAGAATAACTTTCAAAAATCCACCTAATTTGCTTTATGAGTAATAAGAAGAAAAAGTCAAGAAAAGTTGGAAAAATAAAAATTTGATCGCCGTAGGCTTCTCCTCAAACAACCGAATTTAAATACTTACCCAAGTCCATCTTTCATAATTCATGAGTAATAAGCAAACACCCACAAATTTTAGCGAAAGCAGAGATGCTTTCAGTTAACACCTTAGTATGGGCGTGTCGTTTGAGCGGTTTAGCGCATTTTCAATAACAATTTGAGTGCACAGACTTCTAATGTTTCTCCAAAATTTGAAGTCAATCTAGGGAGGGGTTATAAGTTCGCAGACACAAAGGGGGACTGACGTGGCTAGACTGATTCATATTTCGAAGCCTATCAAGAACATACATAGCTTCTAGGGCCTCTGAAGCCTCCTTTCGTGCCTTGCAAACGTTATGACAAAATGAGTATAACCACATTCTTCGGTGGCGGGTATAAAAGTTATCTAGAATTAATATATTGTGCTGAAAATCCCACATTTAATAGATCGATTTTCTAAGAAGTCAAATTCTAAGAATGGTATAATCAAAGAAAAACTTCATCATGCTTTACCTGCCTATGCGGAAGGATTAACAATAATTCGAAGAACATTACACAGGGAAGAAGGGTTATTAGCATGCCAATGTTGTATGTACGGAAGGCAGACACAGTCATATTAAGATTGAATCAAATTGTAATAACAGAACAGACATGTGTCTGTGATAGGATCTTATTAAAAATTGTGAATAAAGCCCATTCTATGCTAAAAATCACCATTCAATGGTACGAACTACGAACGTAATCGAATCGCCGAATAAATACACAAAATAACAAAAAGAAAAAATTGAAGAAATTTTATGTATTTGAAGGCTTGTATTTTCATATGTAGAACCGGGAATTAATAATAAATCTTTTCACTTTTTTTTATTATATGAATGTTAGTTAAAAAAGAAAAGATTAAATTTAATGAAAATATGGTTTTATACTATCCTTTAAAACGAAAGTAAATAAATTTTCTCTTTTAACTAACTCTGTATAAATGTAATTCATACGAGGCAATGACCACAACGCTTAGTTCCAATATCCAAAATCTTTTGAAGCAAATATGTTTGCATTTAATAGATAGACAGAGAGACATAATTAGTTAATCATCCTAAAATGTTAATCTTATTAGGAATGTGCGCTTGTGTATAGCAAATTGCATATGTTGATTATAAAAATTATTACTTAATAAATGCCTTTTCTATCTCCTTTCGAATCTTCTTAGAAAATTAAACTAACTGTGAACAATGCATAATTGTATGCGATAAAGTACAAAATTAAATGAACTTAATTTAATCTAAATTGCTTTAATTATTCATCATCTTTGATGCATTAAAATTACAATTCTAACCCATAAATGTATTACTTGACAAACGGACAATGTAAAGGTTGAACAAATAATCGTATAATCGGAAATAAAAACTTTCTTAGTTAATATGCTTCAATTTCTTGTCAAATATAAACTTAAACGTTTTAGTTTCCAAATTGATAAATAATGAAATGGCCTAGTGAAGCGATCATAAAGAGAAATAAATACTAAGTGTGTAGTGTTTATTTGAGAGTAAAATCATTATGGTAAAATTAAAGCAAGAGAAATAAAAATAAGGCCACGATTGGTAATTTTGAGAATTCAAACGACTCATCAATACTATGATAATTTTGAGATAAATCCTTCATAGCCACAAGAATATAACAAAAATTCTAAGCTCACGAATAAGCTCAGGCATTGGTAAACATTCTCATTACTAACCCCATCACTGACGGATGGGAGTGCACCCTTCGTAATACACACCCAAAAGGGAACTTCAGCGACCCTAAGAGGAGTGAGTAAAATTATCATCTATTTAAGGTTCCTTGGTCAATTAAATTCAGATTTAAGAAAATTAACAGTGAACATGATTCCCTTTCCAAGGTTACATTTCCTTAACAGCCTTTAATAGCAAAATGCACTTCTCAATATAGAAATTACAGTGCAGCAAAATTAACATCACAGATGTTTGCCCGTCGGAACATATTGGCAGCATCAGTTCCCAAGAATGGTAGATATTTATATTTCCATAGAAATATGGAAGACGTGGATGAACAAATGTTCAGCGTACACGCTATAAATGATAAGAATTTTGTAGAATGGATTCCTAATAATGTTAAGGCAGCAGTGTATGACATTCCCGAGTGGTACCTTCATAGGAAAAATTGCAATATTTATTCAAGAGGATCTACTAATAGCACCATTGTATTAGCTAATAGGGAATAGGGAAAATTGCAGGTTAAAAACTGTATTTTACAAGCGACAAGCGATCCTATAAATTGTCGTAAACTTTTAAATAGATTCACACTATGATTAATTTTAAAACAATTAATATTTTACTTAACCATGAAAAAAATTTCTGTCAGCTTTCGAATTATTGCGAACGTGTTTCCTGAACTAAACACATTAATTGCAACTATGGGATTTAGATAAGAATTTTTGCCCCAGTAAAAACCCCGACACCAATTTTTAGATAGCCAAAGATATAAAATATACCTCCCACGATGCAAAATCTCATCACGATCAGCAATATGTGCCTTATAAGGTTTTCGAGACTAATATATTCCCGTTCCTGAATTGTTGATTTTCTTTTCAAACGTCGTAAGCCAAGCAAGCGTGGACAACAGATTGATCAGCGCCCATCACCCTTAAGTATAATAATTTATAATTCACTAAAGAAAATGAAAAATATATTTAATCGATTTTTCGCGTCCCCTCCTATCGTAAGAAAATCTCTTCAATTAAAAAAGAACTTCTATCTAAATAGACGCGATGGCCACCCCAATTTAGATGTAATTTGACCTATTTGTATACATTACCATGACATTACTTAACCAAATTAAAAGACATTATTGTTTTTTCTATTTATTTTCAGCTCTCAGATACTCTCTCCACATGTATAAACAAAAATAAGGCAAACAAACATAACAGAGCGATATCATTAACATATCAATGTACACATCATCTCTGTGAAACGCACAGATACTTAAATAACGTAAAACGTAACGATGAGCGACAAAGTTGTCAGTGCTGTTGGATATTATTACGATTGTTGTGCGCTGTAGTAAATAAATAAAAGTGTTTTATTTAAATCGTATTTAGTTTATTCAGCTTTTATCAGAACGTTCCCAGACGCTCTGGCCGAATTAAATAAATAAATATAAAGCGTATGCTTTTTTTTCGCAATTTCATTTCACGTTGACTTGTTAAAATACATTTAATATAAATCAGCGGAATTTCATTTAATAACAAAATAGACAATTAAAACGTGATTTTCCAAATTAAAAAAAAAAAACAAAAAAAAACAAAAAATATATCATAGGACTTTCCACGCTGTTGATTGTTTAACATTAATTCAAATAATTATTCGCTTTTATATTAATTATACAAAAACAATAAACATATTAATTAATCATCGTTATGGCCGTCTCCACAGAGCATATATTTTCTAGCGAAGAAAAGGATCTGGATAAACCATCCGGTGAGTACAAAAGAAAACAATTTATAAATGGAGTGTAATGTCGTCCTACACATACATATATGTGGGAGAGAAGAAACTGCAAGCCTTGTGGAAAATATTTGAAAATCAAATAAAAAAACAAAAAAAATCGCTTGCGTACAAATCTACTACTGGACTAACTGTAGCTATAAACTCAAATTTCAATTCTCGTAAAACACAAAGAGAAGAAAATCCGGACTTGTCACTCGGTGGGCATTAATAAATTTATTTCTGGTATTTAAAGCTAACTACGGTCATCTCTGCACACAGAGTCAACCATCTTTTGAACCATCTAAACTATTTTTCATTACATCGGGATTTTTTAAAGCGATCCTATCCCATACTCATCGGCTTTTTAAAAATCCTTTAAAGTGTTTTAAAACAATGATTCCAAGAGAAATTTCATGAAAAGTTCAAAACAAGCTTTCCTTTTTTATTAGGTCCAACCACTCAGGTAATGTCTCCTGTTCGAGTAACACCATGACGAGGAAAGAGAAAGAAATCGACAGTTGGCTGCAGTCGAGTGAATGCTTGCCCAATCCATGGGCATTATGCTTGTGTTGATTAAGTACTCGCTGCGCGCAAAATAGACCCTTGCCTGTACTTAACGTAATCGGTTCAGGGTTCAAATTGTCAACCGACTTGAACCTGTCACGAACTATTTCTCAAGCAGGCATTCGCTTATAACATAGACATGAACTTACTACTGTGTCCAAAAAGTAAGACCAAATTAATTTTCCCTTTATTAAATCTATGTATATTTCCAAATCTATTCCGTTACCTTCAAAGTAATCCTCCAACTCAATTAATATTATTTTTTGACAGTTTGGTGTACTACACGAAGATATTTGAAAAAATCTTGATATTTGGGTGACTGTGGCGCGATTTTTTCTGTCTTGAAATTCGTTGTTTTCGGGTCCAAATCTCATCTCCCGCTATGACCAATTGATAATCAGAAATCATTTCCTTACACACATAATAAGACTGGAAAAAAAAACTTTTTGTGTCGTGCGAAAACAAGCGAAGCTGAAACACTAATGACGTTTATGCTGCAAAACTTGACCCAGAGGTTTTGCAAAAGAAAAATAATATTTCTGATATTCGATATACCCGTGCAATGAATATTCGTCTTTACTGTACTCATACAGTCGCAGTATTGTAAAATGAATTTTTAGCAAAGCAAATTTTGTGGCTTCATAAGTTTTCTGAATACTTTCTCGAAATGAAAAATGTACTCATCCGTCTTTCGCACATAACATTAGCTAATAGAAAACAGAAAGCATTAAATTGTCTTCATCAGTTCTCTGTTAAATGACATACAAACAAATGAATTAATAATGACGAACTTTGCTCAACATTTTTGTTCCTTGGTGTAATAAGTGCCATAGCCTACCATGCGCCGATATCAAAAATTAAAAGGTATAGAAATTAAGATAGAGAGCTGACGTTTAACATATACCTTTCTAGATGAGATTCGTAGATAAACTTTGGAGACAATGGAGTAAATAATTGGAGTAAATAAACACTGAAAAATTTCAACAAAAAAAATAGAAAAAAATTTCGACAACACATGACTCGTTCATTAATCGTTTGGCAATTAAAGAAAATCATTTGAATTTCTAATGTGCCCTGTCGCCTTGTAAAGGGCGCCAGAATTGAAATATAACAGAATTCGTTTGGAATGAGCATTTTTCTTTACAAACACTCTCGCTCCCTTTTTGAAGGCTCTTTTGATGCTTCTTCCGAAAGATGGCCGCATAGTGATCTTGTCAAAATTCAGAAGCAATCTTCAGACACCCGTTAAGGCACAAATATAGTTGATCAGCATCAAAATCTGAATTATTTTCAATATTCTGCTTATCTATGTAATGTATCTGTGTAATATCTGCTGTTCCGCTGGTCGCGAATATGAAGTTTCCAATTAAGATGTTGTGTTGCTCACAACTTTGTTCTGCAAATTGACGAAAGCCGTCAGAGGAACATCAAACCAAAAAATCGATTTATTCGCTTATTACTCATTAATGACACCAATGAAAATTGATTGTTGTATTCTATTTATAGCTAAAGATGACTGATAAAAAAAAAAAATTTGGTTACAAACATATATATATAGTTTGCTTACTTCTTTTATTGTGTACCTACTCGTGAAGTTAAAAAAAAAATTAGAGGAGAACGCATATAAAGAATGAAAGAAATGAAATGTGAGGTTAAAAAAGAACGTGCGTCCGAAATGTATTAACAGTAGAAAATAAATATTGGAAAGCTCGGTGTTTGAGCAATAAAATCAAGGCACTTGGTTGCCTCGTTCAGGCTCTAAAAGATAACCACAAAAAGATGAAGATACTAGTTTCGTTCCTGCATAAGAGCGTTGTGGGTAACTTATCCTCTACGCGGAATAAAATAAATTTGATTCCATTGTCCAAAAGAAGAATAAAATCATCTGTATTTGGAAACGTTTTACTTTGCAATAAGTGTGAAATCATTAACTGCATGCAAACTGAAATACATGCGAGAAATGCTATAAAATTAACCGTCGACTGTGACGACAAAAGCTAAAAATACTACAATCGCTGTGGGCCGTTTATTACCTAGATTACCTAGATTTTTTTCGCTACTTTTCTTTTTGGCAGCACAGTTACGAGAAATAATATTTTACGTATTGCGATCAGATATACATCCGTCATATATCGAACAACCTTAGGCGAAGGATACACAATAATAGTTTCTTGTTTTTGCCATTGAACGATAGAAATGCGAGCAATGGAGGAGGAATGGTAGAAATGTATAAGTCATATAAATAGTCTCCGCGGTTTTTTCCGCGAAATTCTGTTTATGTCTATTTTTTGGGCAACGCTCCCCTAATTGTCTCAAATATACATGTGCCTCACACATTATGGCATTTCAGCATAATTTTCGTGTTCCTTGGTCGTAGAAAAAGTCATATATATAAAGTTATAAGTTATATGTGTTAAGCTAAAACATGCAAAAACATGCCGAAAAATTTTCGAAGTGGGCGGTGAGAATGATGTGAGTGAACGAAGGACTCACAAAGGATACAGAGATTTCGGCAAGACCGACAGCCAAACTGTCAGAAATGGCGGAGGCAGTAAACATAAACCACATGATAAATTCGAGTCTTTTGAAAAGAACAGGCCACAATAAGAAGCTTGAAACCGCGGAGACTTTTTTTATGATCCATTATATTGGATTTGCTACTCCATTTGTAACATACTGAAATACGCATCAAATATATATTGACGAAATCTGTCAGTCTGTCCGCACATACCATATCACCGTCTTGCAATAACATTTTCCTTTACAAAATTTGAGACAGAAATCTGAAATTTTTATACCTCTCCTCAATGGTGGTACAAAGGTATAATAAATGTGTGCGGGTGTATGCAACATCCAGAAGGACTTCAAATAGATCACCTTTTATTATAACGATCGATTCAGCATTATATTTGGAATCGAGCTAAGCTTTTCTGCTTGCTTGTTTTCACCCGATAGGCCGCAATTTTAGAAATATTTTGCGAAATTAAGTAGACCGACTTGGCATCGCCAAAGATGAGCGCAATCATAAAGACTTTCTACTGCATTTAGCGAATCGGTGTAGGGTATTTAATGATGGACCTTGGGCCACTATAATGTTTTTATATACATGTGTAGAAGGTTTTTTCATAATCACTCCAAATATATAAAAAGGAGAGATTTTCATCAAATTTACATACAAGGAATAAAATAAAGCAAAACAACGATCAAAAAACTGCATTTAAAGTTTGATACAGTCACTCACCAAGCTGACAATGCTCACCAAACATCCGTAAATGAAGCTGCTCACCGTCAATGCTCATATAAAAAAATATTTTATTTTGTAACTGCAGCAAATGCTAACTCTACTAGCTTAATATGAATATTCACAATTTTACAGTACTGACTATGTTCACGGTAAAAAAATCCGTCAAAAATCAACTTACAAACAGGGCAGCAATAAACGAAAGTTACAGTCCGTAGCCAACTTAGATGTAAAATTTGTTGTAAATACGTTTCGGAATCGTATACAAAGCATGCATTACAATAAGAGGCGACTATTAAATGCTACGCTAAATATATGAGAATTATGACATCATAATTATTTCCAAAAAAAAAAAAAATATATATATATATATGTATATATATATATATTTAGTATACTATTACAGATATAGAAATAACGGTTGAGCGCTCACAGAATGCAAGTGCGAAAAACGTGCTTTTTTAAAAAAGATATAAAGTCATTTAGCCCACGCGAAATTCTTACTTCAAATTCATCATTGCATGCCAGCTACGCAGCAATGATCGCAGTAGAAAAAAAGAGGCTGTTCTCTTTGGTCAAGGAAGTGTGTTTAATGATGGACAACTGATGGTGAAATTCTGTCGAAAAATTATCATAAATTGTTGCGATAATCGATACTTGACAGATATTACACTAATCTTTTATGCATCTTCTTGAGGCAAATCTCAAAAGTTTCAATTACATTTGACCTTCTAATGGTCAATCAAGGACAAGGATAATATTTGAAAGAAATTCTCGGTCGATATCTGCTTACGATAATACGCTAAATATTCTTCTATATGTTCATCTTCTTTTTTCAAGGCCTTTTCATAATTCAACTATTGCGGCTATAATTAAAACGGTGCTTGCAGAATGCATTCAAAAACTTACGTAACAGATATCGAATCTACGAGTTGGCAGAATAAGAAATGAAGGACAACAAACAACCCAAAAATCACTTACGTTATCAAGTCTGAATTTGTTGAGTCTAAGTTTGTCAACCCAACCTCAAATGATAAAAGCATTTTGGTGATTTTTTAGAATGCATTCAAAAACTTACGTAACAGATATCGAGTCTACGAGTTGGCAGAATAAGAAATGAAGGACAACAAGCAACCCAAAAATAACTTACGTTATCAAGTCTGAGTTTGTCGAGTCCAAGTTTTTC